CCCGGGGGGGGGGGGGGGATAGTTTAGCTTCATTGTAAATCTGGCCATGTATTTAATTACACACTAAGTACTATAACACCTAAATTCTTACAACTAGTTTCTAATAACCAGATTTATACAAAGTGATAATTTGTTTATTATTACCCTTATGTCAGTATGAATGATCATTATAAAGACGTAAAAAAAAAAAAAAAGGATGCAGAATCACCATAAAAGTAGTCCAAACGACTCATGCATATATTACAAATGTGCTTTGCTTTAGCTTTGTGTGAGCATAGAACAAAAATAAGTTGTGCGCCTCCAGTGAGCTAACATCTACAACAGAATCATTAAGTCGACGAGTTGAACTCGAGAACCGGATCAGTCCGATGTAGGAACGAATCATTTAACGCAGCACAGACGGAATCGACGGAATCGATTCAAATGATTCATACGTCTACTTCTCATGCGCACACATTTATTTTAGTCCGGTTTTTACACAATAACTATCGTGTGGCTCCAGAAAACTAGGAATAAAAAGATGAGTCGTGTGGACTACTTTTATGCTGATTTTAGTTATTTTAGAGGCTTTATATTTTCAGTCACCATTCATTTTTAATGAATACAAAGACTTTCTTCCAAAATGTCCCCTTTGTGTGTCCACAAAAGTAAGAGTTATAGAGGTTTGTAACGACTGGAGTTTAAGATAAAATGTCACAATTCTCTATTTTGAGTGAGCTAGCCCTTTAAATCCTCACCTCAAACAGATAAATTAAAGGTTACAGGCGCAGTAAACGCAAGTCACGTCACAAGCAGGGACTTGCATTTACATGCCCGGGAGACTTGTTAATCAAGTCTAAGACTAAGTTAATCACAAGCACTCGTAATGTTCAAAGAATCACCACACTGAATGATTCAAAAACAACATACAACGCAGCCGCTGCAGTGAATCCACCAGCATCTAAATCAGCATGAAGAAACACACACCTCCGAAAGACATATGGCAGCACTATATGAACGGACCTAAAATTAATTTCTAGAAATTTCCAGAGATCTGCCAACAACGAACCAAATCCAACCGTTGCGCCGCATCCTTTAAAATCAAAACCATGGTGTTTTTGTTCAAACTGCTCGTCTGTCAAGCCCGATCTATCAGCTGAATGTAAAGCCCGTCCTTACCCCGTTGTTGTCTTTAAAGCTCCAGGCTTGACGCCGTTGTATGAGCCTCTGCTTCAGGAGCAGCAGATGGTGGCCGGGGGCGGTAAGGACTAAATGTGTGGAAGGTACAAAAAGGCATACGGCGATCCTCGGTTTTATAATCTCACGCCCCTTTCTACCCACCTCCTTTCAGTTAGACCAGCCCCCTCGTCTCTGTAAACACATACCACACACACTCCACACACCAACTGAGAGAGAGAGAGAGAGAGAGAGAGAGAGAGAGAGAGAGAGAGAGAGAGAGAGAGAGAGAGAGAGAGAGAGAGAGAGAGAGAGAGAGAGAGAGAGAGAGAGAGAGAGAGAGAGAGAGAGAGAGAGAGAGAGAGAGAGAGAGAGAGAGAGAGAGAGAGAGAGAGAGAGAGAGAGAGAGAGAGAGAGAGAGAGAGAGAGAGAGAGAGAGAGAGAGAGAGTCACGTGGGCTGGTGACGAATGTTGTGATTAAAGCCTGAGGTGAATAGAAGCGCTGCAGTGTGTGTGTGAGTGAGTGAGAGAGTGTGTGTGTGTGTGTGTGTGTGTGAGAGAGAGAGAGAGAGAGAGAGAGAGTCACGTGGGCTGGTGACGAATGTTGTGATTAAAGCCTGAGGTGAATAGAAGCGCTGCAGTGCTTTTAGTCTATTCCTTTTTTATCTCTAAAAGTTTAAAAGCCTTTTAAACCGGTACTGGTACCGTAATAACAATACATTAAAAAGTATGATGAAGACTCAAATGTCCATAATCCAAATCGTACGTCTTGTGTATAACTAGTCGAACTAGCATTCATTCTGCCTGATGCAATATTCTGCAACAGACAAATTAACTTGTCAAAACCCCCAAATGACTAAGCGTGAGTTTTTAAACAGCTGGTAAGAGCTGGTTTTCTATGAAGGAAATATCAAAGCAATAGCTAA